TAAGTTGTGAACTTGGGTGGTGATTATGGACTGCAGAACTATGATGATTGTTGGTTTTTTTAAAAATTCAAATGAACTTAGTGGTAGGAAAAACTTTATTTCTTTTATTTCTATTTTAATGCAGGTATTAAACTTTCCCAAAAAGATGGAGATCCGAGCTTTGATTGAAGGACAGTTCATCGCCAAAAGGATTCATGCTGAAAAGCTAGGCTATAGAGTTGGTAAGTGTGATTGTGAAAGGTTCTGGAGGCTGGTCATAAGATAACAAAGTAGTCTTTTTAAAAAGAAAAATTGATTTGGCTTTGTCTGAAGGAAAAAAAAAAGCCATTTCCATTATAGGGACCATGAGAAAAATCCCAGTGGCCTGAGTTTTCATGAGCTGGGCCATCCTCTAAACTTAAGGAGTTTACGTTCTAACAGTGGTGGGGATGGGAGTAAAGTACAGCCTATACACAAATAAGTGTCATACAAAATCAATTGAGAAGGGAAAGAGTGATAACAATTTGGGGGTGGAGTGGGAAGGATCATGTGGAAGTCATGGAGGAAATTGTACCTGGACTAAGACTTGAAGGAAGGGAAGAATTCAGTGAGATAGGGATGAACAGGTAGTGCATATCATAGGGTTGGAAGGAAAACTTGTGCAAATACAAGGAGGTGAGAGATAGAACATCAACTCTAGGAAATAGCTTGGAGTCCAGTTTGGAGCACAGGGTGCAAAAAGGGGAGTAGCATGAAATTAGAGCCTCCATTTGATAATATTGACACCTATGATCAAAAGCAACCTATGATTTCATATGTTTATTGTTTTAAGTGACTTTATTTTTCTATATGCATGCAAATGATAAATCAGCAGAGAAAAGGGGCCAAGTTACTCTGAAATTCTTATCTTCCAGACTGATAAAAACAATTGTATTACTTTAGCCAAAAAATAACTAATACAATTATGTTGTATCATCCCTACCCCCACCCCTCCAACCTTGGAAGTATTTCTTTTGCAAAATAATTCAGGCTTGCTGATACTCTTAGCAGATTAAAAATAAATTTTTTTCCTTTAAATTTAGAGGATGAAATTTAATGGGGTGGCTATAAATGTCTGTGAAAGAGCCTGTTATAATGGTTCGCATAGGTGCGGTTTCACTAATCTAAAGCATGACGTGGGAGATAGGAAGCTTAACCTGGAGGTGGGAATTCTGAATTCAAATCACATCCTAGACATTTGCTGGGCTACAAAAGGCTAGAGAAATATAATTGTGATCTTAGTTTTGGCTAATTGTGCTGTTTTCTTATTTTAACATATTTTAAGTGGAATACAGAAGAATTTAACAGAAAAACCATCATTGTCTTGGGATTTTAGATGTTCGTATTAATCTTCTTTAGAAATGAGCTTTAAAAAAGAGCAATTTTCAGTCATTTAAGCTCAAGGTTTTGTATTTTGAGCCAAAGTGTAAAGTACTCACTTTGAACCTCTGTGAGCACAAAGGACAGTTATCAAACAAATCTACGTTTAAAAAGCATCTGAAAAATGCACCTCTGTGATTTCTGAGAAGGCATGACAGGTAGAAAATGTTAACTTTGCCCAGCAATCTCCAGAAAACATTCCTCATTGAAAATTGTCACCACATGCTAGTCTCAGTCTTTGGGGGCTTGATGATTTCGGGCTTTAGATTAAATTAGGAGCTGCATCGCTCCAGGTGCATTTGGGCCAATTTGTAGGTCCCAGGCTGGACAATGATCAGTAGTAAACAGTGCTCAGCAAGCATCTTAAATGCTGGTTAAACTGATTTTTGTGAAAAGCAAGCCATTTGGAAAGGGAGAAAATTAAATCAGCCATTTATATCAAAACATACAGTATCAATGATTTTTTTTTCTCCACTAAATTGATGGGGTTTTTCAAAATTGATTAGTCAATTGACAAAACCTGACTAGAGTTGGCTTAAACACTAGGATTCCTCATGCCCTAATACAATGCTGAACCAAAGAATCAGGCCATTCAGAAAAGTGTCCAATTGACTTTTTTAGCAAATTGTATCAATGATCTATCTGATATTTTCTGTAGATATAGTCTTAGAGATAATGCCTGAAGCCATCAGGCTTAAATGTTCTGAAAAGCAGAAGTTCAAGTCAATTAAATGAGCAGTAATTAAGCACCTACTATGTGCAGCATGAATGACTTCTTGTCCTCAAAGAGCATACAGTTATCTCTTCTACATTGTTGCAGATTGGGGCACAGAGCCCCCATGATCTGAAAAATCCATAAAATTTTTTGGCCCTCTTTTCATATCAGAGAAGAAGTCTGAATTATTATGATATTAAAAGATAAAATATGTTGATATTATACAATATTATACATATATTTTATTCATTTTTCAGTTTCTAAACTTTTTTTATTAATTTATTTTAAACTTAAACACACAAGAAAAGAAAAAGAAACATTGTAAACTTAAATATAAAATAAGAAAAGAAAAAAAAGCATTATAAACTTTTTATGTGTCATGTCACCTGTGAGTTCTGCAAGACTCCCCCAAAATCCCCATCTAATTTCTTGCGCCAACCCTCGATGTAGCGAAACCACAATGGGGAAAGTCGAGAAGCAGAAGGGATAACTGTACATTCTACTAGGGAGACAACTATATGTACATAGATAGGAAGTGAATACAGAATAGAGATCCTGGATTCTGGTTTGAACAAATGCCTTTTCAGCCATGTGAAGAGTTTATATAGTCAGCACTGAGTATTCCTGTGAGAGGGCACTTTGAGAACATGAAGTACCACACAAATAATAATAAGGAATTTACCAGATTCACTAATGCAAAAACTCTTCTCCTTGGTTTATTTCTCTACCAGTTGAAAATAAATGTGAGCATTCCCAGTGGAATTGCCCTTTATTCTATTCATATTCTATTTTTAAAAGTTTTATTGATATCTTTAGTTTTTATATCACGTTCATTTCTGTTTACTAACCTTTCCCTCCTACCTACTTTCCAGAATAGAACCCTCCCTCATAATAATAAAAAAAGCTATTCAGCAAAAACAGCTCATATAGTGACTGGCTTGATGTATGTGACACTACCCTCATAGTGCCCTTCCTTTCTATTGAGGAGAGAGAAATATATTTTATTTCATACTTTTCCTGTTCTTATGCAGTCTTGAAACATTATCACGGCTTTGAATTTCTATGCATTGTAAACATCCAAGGTCATTTTGCTCCTTTTGTTGGAACATAAGGAACATAACAGCTCTTCTGCTTGGCATCTGTGGCTCACAATAGTCCCAGTTCACATCGGACTCATCCAAGCCCTATGGCAGGCAGGTTTTCTCTTACATTGTGCATCTCTACTGGAATATCACTTTTATGTTTTGGGATGAATTGATCTGCCATCGCAAACATCCCATTCATTTAGTACAACATCTGGTTTCTTTGTACCCTCTGTAAATTTGATGAACATACTCTCTGTGCCTTTATCTAAGTCACTGATGAAAATGTTAAACAGCATGGAGCCAAGTCTAGATCCCTGGGGCACTCCTCGGGAGACCTCCTGAGCCCTTCATTCGGTTCTGAATCCATCTGACCATATTACATCCATATCTCTCCATCTTCTCCACAAACACAGAATTACATATTTTATCAAAAGATTTGCTTAAATCTAGCTAAATTATAGTCATACTACAGCTTTCCTCTCATTTATTAGTCTAGTTATCCTGTCAAAAAAGGAAATGAGGTTAGTTTGGCATGATCTGTTTTTGATGAAGCAATGCTGGCTGCTTGTAATCACTGCTTCCCTTTTTCAATGTCTACCAACCATCTCTTTCAGGATTCATTCTAGAATTTCTGCAGGAATCAAAGTGAAGCTCACTGACTTCCAGCTTGCAGGCTGTTCTCTTTCCTTTTGTTGAAAATCAGGACGTTTGTCCTTTGTTGATCTTCTGTTTTCCATGATCTTTCACATATCACTGACAGCGGTTCAGCAATCTCATCAGCCGGCTATTTGATGCAGTTCACTTAGGTCAAGTGACATGAATTCATCAAGGGCAGTGAGGTTCTCTCTTACTAGCACCTTACTTATCTTGGCTATCAACTCCCAGTTGGTCATTTTTGTTTCATCATTTCTAATGTTCATTCCCCTTTGCAGAGAAAACAGAAACAAAATAAGGTTTTGTTTTTCATTGTTTTTAAAAAAAAATTGTTCAGTGGGGAGGGCAAGGAAGGAACAGTGGGAGGGAAAAATAACAAATTCTTGTAAAAATAATTTTAAAAAGATTTAAATAATTCTGCCTTTTCTCTTTTGTCAGTTACAACCGTCTCATCCATTCCAGGCTAAGATTCTATTTCTTCTTTGGTCCTCCTTTTTCTCCCAATATGACTTAATAAGCCTTTTTTGTTGTCCTTAGCTTCCCTCAACAGTCTTAGCCCATTCTTTAGCATTCCTGACATTCTTTTTATAGGACCATGCCACACTTATATTCGTCTTCTGTTTTCTGGCCTCGTTTCCATCTTCTGTATGTTTCTTTTTAAAAATCTAAGTTGCGTGGTGTATTCCACATGCATTCTCATCAGTCTCTTCAGACAAATCCTACTTTTTCTCCTCGTTGGAACTTTTCCCTTTGTGTCTTCAGAATTTCATTCTTGAGCATCTCCCATCTCTCCTGGACTGATTTTTTTCTGAATTATTTTACTCCATGGGATCCTTCCTATCATTCCTCTTAATTCTTTGAAATTTGCTTGCCCCAAATCTAGGATTCATGTCACAATTTGGCTAGATTTCTTCTCTTTCTCTGTCACCAACTTCAGGATGAAATGATCACTTTTCCCTAGGATTCCCCTTATTTGTACTCCAGCAACCAAGTTCTCCGTTAGTGAGAATCAGATTCAGAACAGAATTTCCTCCTTGTAGGTTTCTCCATCTTTTGAAGGTAGGTCCAGAACTAATTGCCTTTTCTGCTTTTCAGTAGGGGGGAGGGAGGGGGGGAGGGAGAGAGAGAGAAAATATGTGTTCTAGCAGATATCTGGATAATTAAATTCCTTCATCACTACCATCTCACGTCTCTTTGTCAAGCTCGTAATCTGTTTTCCAAACTTTTCATCTATTTCCTCTTTCTGTCTAGATGGTCTGTAATATGCTCCAGTGACAAAATTCCTCCTATTTTTTCCTTTTTTGACCTGCACCCAAACAGTCTGCTTCCTACTTTCTGCCTTTGGTTCCTGGACTTTTTCATATGAGTC